TCTAATAATGATACAAGAAACTAATTTAAATAATGAAAATTTAAGAAGGTTCATAGCACAACAATGGTTTTATGACTTGTACTGGTCAGCAAAGTCAGCGATTTTGGCAGGAAGGAAAGATATAATCTTTGAAAAGGTTAAGAAAGACTACGAAGGTAGAGTAATTATGGTATACTTTAAATTAAAGCATAGAATGTTCAAAATTTCGAATATATACGTACCTCCAAGTGTAAGAGAAAGAATGATGTTTCTAAATAACTGGACTCCAGTTATAGATAAAGAAGTAATTAATATAATCGCAGGAGATTTTAATATAAATCTCAAGGAGCAGAAAAATAGGATCAGTCAAGTGGAAGTACATAATGATCTCACTAAAGAGAAATTAAAGAAACATATGGATGGGTTCACAGATACCGTAGATTTTACGACAACAAGCCCTTTCTTACTTATTTCCAAACAACATGTGGAAGACATACTATAGTTACTAGATTGAATTATATTTTCGTTGAGGATAACTATGCACAATTCTGTCAAAACACCAAAACATGATATGGAAATTCAGATCACCTTCTCGTGGAATGTACATTCAATTTTATAAGATTAAATAGCAGATCAGCCCTTTGGAAATTCGATGCGAGATGTTGGAAGAATGAGAATCTAAGGAAAAACGTTATAGAGGAGATACATAGTTTTCAGAATAGTGAAGAGTGGGATTATATGAAATGTTGTGTCCAGTCGATAATATGTGCGTTTAAGCCTCCAGCTGCACTAGAAAATCAAATACAAAAACTAAATAAAAGTATCACCAAGCTGAAAACGAAAATAGCAGCAAACCCAAGCTAAGAAGACCTAAATATCATGGTAGAACAGATGGTATCTCAGCAGCAAGATGAACTAGACGTATTAGCACAGAAGTAGCAAATAAGATCGAATACGTAGTGGGTTGAGAAAAGAGAATGGTTAACAAGATACTTTTTCTCCTACTATAAAGTGAAGCATTCGATAAATGCGACTTCTAAAATCAAAATCCCAGATGATTCAAGTATATTAGAACCGAGTAAAATTTTACAGTATATCAAGGATGTGTACGAGGATATATATAAGGAGGAGGACTTTAATCAGGAAGCTGCGGAAGAGATGACATGTAACCTACCCCAAATTTTGGCAAAAGATAATTTTATGCTGCTAAAAAAAATTTCAAAAGAAGAAATTAGCTCAGTAATAAACAACTTATCAAACAATAAAGCCTCCAGCGCAGATGGTTTCACCTACGAATATTATAAGGAAGTTGTAGAGGAAATTGTACTGAGTTTAGAAAAACTTTTTAATAAAATCCTTAACATGGGAATACTACTAAGATCGTGGCTAAAAAACATTATGACGCTCATACCAAAAAAGTCAGAGAATCTTGAAGATGTGGGCAACTAGCATCCCATCTCCCTCATAAATACTGATTGTAAAATATTCATGAAAATTCTAGCAACAAGGGTTAACATAATATGTCAAAAAATAATAGGTAATTACCAGCAGAGATTTATCGTGAGCAGGTCGATAATGGATGCAGCGATGGATATCATAACTACAATGAGGGACCAGAATGACTAAACGAAGCAGCACTGGTTATTATTCATTGACTAACAAAAGGCATTTGACAGGGTCAATTACCATTTTATGGAAATAGTATTAAAAAAAATAAATTTCAATATAAAATTTACAAACATAATCAAGAGGCTTTTCGTGGGACAGACAGCACACATAGCTGATGCAGGACAATTATCAGAATCTTTTAGGATCAGCAAGAGGGTAAGTCAAGGGGACCTATTGTTACCTCTGTTATATGTAATTACCTTTGATACTTTCCTCCGAGCCCTAAATGGAAACCTACAGGGTATTTATATACAGGACCAGGTTTTTAAAATAGCAGTATACGCAGACAATTTGACGATCGAGTTGAGCTCAAATACAGACTGAACCACATTTACGAGGCTAGTCAGGAAATATGAAGAAGCATTGAATACTAGAATAAATTGTCAAAAATCAGTGCTGATGCCTTTCACGTGTAATGCAGAAAGGACTGAGCTTGAGAGAGGGGAATGTTTTAAAAGATTAGAAGAAAATGAGAATATAACAGTACTGGGATACACTGTTGACATTAAAGGGCAAGTGGATAGAAACATCTGGCTGAAGATGATTCAGAAAATTAACAAAATAATAGAAAAAATAGCTTTGAGAAACCTGTCTTTTAGTGGGAAAATCCTAATAGTGAAATCTTTATTGCTCTTACGTATATGGTATATATCATATATATTACTGCCAAACAAAAAACAAGTTAAAGAGATAAGTAACATGATGGCTAATTGGATTAAGAAAAGATCGAAGATACTACCAAGGCTCTTGGTTTTCTAGCAAGATTACAGTTTTGGCAGTTTGAAAGCCCTGTGATTGATCACATGATAGCTGCTAGACTAATGATGATTTGGATAAAACTGTTAACATCAGACAGCATATGGGCAAAAGCAGAACGCTCTTTAATATCAGCTAGTATGAGAGACAAAAGAAATATGAACATTAAGGAGGCAATAAACGACAATTCGCTCAGTCTCAAGGGATGGCCAGAAAACTAGAAAAGATACGTTAAGGAGTGGAAAAGGTTAGAAGGAAGAGTAAACCCAGATACAGGAACATAGCTATGGGATTTGGCAGACATAAACCTCGCGCAGATAAAGGGTGAGGAATACTCAGTGAAAAGAGCCACCAAATTTTTAAGAGAGAAATTTCTGAAGCCAACTGCCTCGCTTTTAATTCGAAGTGATAATGATGAGTCAAGAAATCACTGGGAGAGATTGAGTATGCGATGAGCAGAAAACAAGAAAAATGATATTTACTGGTGACTAACATAAAGGGTATTGCCTCTGGGATACAGGCTGGTGCACATATCAGATAATGATAATGGAGAATATCCATACTGCCAAGGGACGCTGCAAACATTAGAGCATTTTGTGGCCAAGTGTGATGTAAGCAGAAAGATCTGGAGCACTCTATACTCTAGAATACGTATACCAGAAAACATATCTCCTCCAGACTCATTAGAGAAGGTGTTACAAGTTAACGATATAATGGATAGTAAGATAAGGGCCTCTATAAAGTGGCTGAATATTTTCGGCGTCTATGAAATTTAGTTGTATTATACGCAGGCAAAATGGGGCTCATCTTCAATTCCAATACCCACTATCCCCCTCATAACTAAGAATAGGTTGAATAGGGCAATTAATGCTCTTCGTAGTATAGGGCATCCCAAGAATAGAGAGAAAAAATATATATTTAAAAATATAATTATGTAATATATAATATAATATACGATTATTGAATAATAATAAAGTACACTTACTTGGCGTTCCAGGAAAAAATGCCTAGAAAATGAAAAAAAAAAAAAATCTTGCTGAAATTTTGAATTTTAACCTGTGGAAGTTGACTAAATGAGATGTTAATAGGTTTCTCATCTACTTCTCTTCAGCAATATTTATAACTTTGTCAACCTTATTAATTTTTTGAGCTTCCACTGCTAAATCCTTTGATAGTCTTTTCTTATATAAATTAGTTGAACTAATAAATTTTTTTCTTACTCTTTTCTCAGCTATAAATAATAGGACAGCATTGTTATGAATATTCAAAAGGGTTTGCTAGCTTTTACTCTTCTTGATTTCCTCCTCAGGAACCAATAAGGATAGATATTGCTGTTGCAAATCCCAAATCACTAATATATGTCTGTGAAATATTTTATAATGCTACCTACGACCGTATGCTTCTACCTAGCAGAATAAACAGTTGCAAACCCTCCTTTACCATTTTCTTGTACAAACTCCTATTTACTGAACAAAATCTATGGTATTGATAAGTTGTTTTCAACCAATGAATTTTTTAGAAATTCATCAATATCAAGGTTTTCATAGTTAATTATTTTTTGATATTTATTACTTCTTGGCCACTCAATAGCTTTTTCCTGATCAGGCGATGTTCCATTTCCATTTCGATAACATAACCCAAGCTCATATTGTCCATCGGGATAATCACCTTCAGCAGATTTTAATAACCATTTAAACGCTTCTTTTGTAGTTCATGCGCCAGACTGATAACTGAATGCTAGATTATATTGTTTACTCAGATTACCGCCTTCAGCAGATTTCAAAAATCACTCAAATGCTTTTTTTTCATTCTTTTCCGTATCTATGACATCTTTGTAGCATAACACTGTCCATCAGAATTATCACCTTGGCAGATTTCAAATACCACTTAAATGCCTTTTGATCGTCTTTGACTGTACCTATACCGTTATCATAACAAAATCCAAGATTATTTTGCCTACTCGAATTGTCACCTTCAGCAGATTTCAAATACCATTTAAATGCCTTTTTTCATCCTTGGCAGTATCTATGCCTTCTTTGCAGCATAATTCATTATTATTTTGTCTCTACCTTCTGCAGATTTCAAATGCCCTATTTTCATCCTTGATTATACCTATACCATATCTGTAAAGTATCTAAGACAACACTGTCCATCAGAACTATCACCTTCAGCAGATTTCAAATACCACCCAAATGCCTTTGTTTCATACTTGACTATTCCTATGCCATTTTGGTAGCACCATCCAATATTATATTATCCATCCGAATTGTCACCCAAAATACCATTCAAATTCTTTTTTTTCTTCATTATCTGTACCTATACTATATTTGTGGAACTATTCAAGATTAAATTGTCCATCTAAATTGCTCCCTTCAGCAGATTTTTAATGCCTTTTGTTCATTCTTGGCTGTACCTGTGCCATCTCTATAGCATACTCCAAGGACAATTTTTCCTTGAGAATTGCCACCTATAGCAAACTTCAAATACCACTCAAATGCTTTTTTTTTTTATCTCTATCTATGTCTATGCTTTCAGATACCAACATTTAGCCGACATCACGCCAAGTGACAATTTACTAAAAATATATACCTGAAACTAAAAAACCTAACCCTAACCCCATGTGATGTCGGCTAAATGAACTTTTAGCGAAATGACTGTCAGTGAAGTGAGCGGCACCGATGCCTTCATCATAGTACCATTCAAGATTGTATTGTTGATATAGAATCTCCTCTTTCAGAAGCTTTTAAACACCTTTTTTTCATCTTTAATTGTGCATATGCTATTTTGGTAACAACATCATAGATTACCTTGTCCACTGCTGATTTTAAATAGCATTCAAATGCTTTTTTTTTCACCCTTCACAACACCTATACCATTTTGGTAGCTAATTTAATCTTACCCCATTGTTTCAGAAGTGTACGTAATAAAATTTCTTTCTCAATATTGCTAAAGCTTTTTATACAAACAAGTTTAAGCTTTTTATATGGCTTTTTGAATTGATTATAACAAACTAATATAACAAATGCTAAAACAAAATAAATTTAATTTAAAAAATATCGATATATATTAAATATAAATCTAAAATGTAACTTACTTTTAGCTGGTTCTTTTGTTTCAATAATTTTTGATTCAGTCGCTGTTACTTCAAATGTTATTTTAGATTCATTTTCTGCTTCAGACAAATCGGATATTTCATATTCAATCATAGTTACTTCAGGTAAACTAGGCGTTTTGATAATATTTATTATAGATGAGCAAACTAAAGGTTCTTTAGTTGTTAGATCAATCGTTTTATTAATTTCATCTGATTCATGTTTTCATTTCGATCTATATTTTATAATAATTATTATATAAAATTTTTTAAATAACTAATGTAATAAATAAATTTTTACTTTGATTTCGTTTATTATAATTTTCAATGCAGTCTTGACAAACATTAATATATTTTGCTTATTTGGAATTACAACTTGAGTTATATCTTTTTTTAATGGATAGGAGCATACCCTTTGTACTACTGGTAGTACACTTTATAAAACTCATAGCAATCTCAAATAACAGTAAATTAAAAAGATTTTTTATTTAAAAGACTATCACATATTACTTTATAAATTTATTTATTTTTATTTAATATTTATTATAAAATTAATAAAATTTTATACCGCTAAAAATATAGCATTATCCAGTATTTATAGTATACTACGCATAGTACACAATTAAAAATTTCATTGTGACCCACCAAAAAAAATTATGAGTTGCACGTTTAAAATACAATAAAACAGATCTAATAAACATATATATTACCTTTAAGCACGCCCACTATACGTATCACGAATATGATGAGCCCAGCAAGTTGTACATATATCCCGTTCTACCATACAACTACAACAAGTAGTTGTACGATTATGGCACCTTATGCAATGACGTTGAACACGAGAATTTTTGCGGCGTAAATTTGCAGAAATATTCCGAAGGCTAAGAAGGCTATGTTCAACAAGATTCGAATCTAAATTTTTTCTTTTTTTTGTTCAATCGGCTATACTTTCATCAGAATAACCAAAAATAGAGGTTACTAACTGCTTACGAAAATCTATATGCTTTATTTTTTTTTTATTAGATACAAATTGACAATATGCAGAATAGCTATTAGCTTCTACAACTGAGAGATAAAAGGCAAAAATACGATTAGTAGAATGTTTTGTAGCAAGGATATCATGGTAAGAAAGTGCATTATCACGTAAGTTATTTAGTATATCTACAGCAGACCGATGTTCATTATAGTCATTAAAAATAACAGGACGCTGAAATCTTATAGTGCATAGATCTTTAATATATCTTTTTATTTCTCTTTTAGGATTTGTTGTAGAACAACTAGCTAGAAGTACTATATCTTTACGATCACGAATTGAACTCAAAACAAGATCAATACTATCAAATATTCCAGTTTTGCTAACAAACGATCCATAATCCTCTCCAAGTGCACTTGTTATATCATGTGGAATGTTTCTTGGCCAGTAACGATGCTTTTTTATTTGTAAAATAGAATAGAGACCATGTTTGTATAAAGTAACACACCCATCCATACTTCCAAACCACGAGTCTGCAACAACTGTTCTATCACTATGGAACCATGGTTCTGTTAATCATAACATAGTTGCGATTGTTGAAGAATACTGATTAGAAAATTTTTTTTATTAGCATATACAGGGGGCTCTACAGGATCTAATTGTAAAAACAAATTTGTTCAGATATCAGCGACAGCTTTAAATTCACATCCAATTGGATGAGGTTTTTGTGGGATCTTACGTTGAAAAGGACTTTTATCAACTTTACTCATCCATTGACACATTGACTCGTCAATACAAAGATAATCACCAAGCGTAATAGCCTTACAAAGATTTTCATTAAATGCATTATGAAACTCACGAACAAAATAAAATGGATCACTATTATCTATTACATCTGTTAATGTCAAATATTTGATTATATCCTAAAATCTTCGATTTGACATATATTGTCTAAACCCTAATGCTAAACCACCTGTTTCTTGCTTAACTGCCCAATAATCACGCTTATCAGCACACTGTACATATGTCATAATTGTTAAAACTCCAATAAACTGCATAAACTCCATCTAGGTCAGATCCTTCCAAGAGGATTCGCTTGCACGTGCACACCTGTTTGTTGATAGTATTACTGTTGATAAAATATATTCAACAGGTAAGAATCGCTCAAAAAATTGTTTCGGAGATGCATGAGCAATGTCAGATATATGCACAATTGGTGTATTTGAATAAGAAAGCTTAACTTGGCGAGAATCAATTGTTACAATAGAATCACGCTACAAACTATTACTAAAGCTAATTTCATCACTTTGACTTTCTTCACTACTACTTGAAATATCAGTCTCATTTTCACTAACGACCACATGCTAATGAAATTAATTTCAAAATTAAAAATTGGATGAATCAAATAAATTCACAAGACAAAAACGAAGTTAAAAAACATTTCTTAAATTCTGATAAATCAAATAATATATCTTCTATCACACCAAATCATTCTAACGAATCGTATACATGTAATCTTATTGATACAAACAAAATATCAAATGCAGTCTTAGCTTCTAAAATAATTAATTTTGAAATTCCTAATAATGTATAATTTTTTATATATAGTAAGAGCTTTCTTTATGCTAAAAATTAAGATTTTTAAAGGCTATCATAGTAATGATTTAATTAAGGAATCTGCAATATGCAGTATATATGAAATATTATGATTTATATGTTTTATAAGAAAAGAATTTTCAATATAATTTATAGATACATACTGCATTTTAAATTTTTTTTATACTAATAATAAAACATGTATTTATTATTAAAAACAGATTAGCAAACAAGAATTGCATGCAGTTAAGACAGTATATGCAGTTAGGTAGTATGTATTTAAAATATTGTCAATTGTATTAAAATTAAAATTTGGCAATAATAGTTTTTATATCAGAATTTACAAGAAATTAATTTGTTAGATGCCTTTATAGTTAAAGTGTAATTTTTACTTTATACAGTACTTAATGTTTATTTGACCCAACTAATCTATTATAGTCTCAATTTTTAAAAATTTATCAACGCATAAAAAAAAAATTATTCTAAAATAATGTAAACAAGATCTTTGACAAGTGCATGCAAGAGGGTTGAATTATATATACTTGAAATCCAAGATATTATAGGTATAACAAAGCAAATCTAATAGTATACAGATCTAGCTATACTTTATCATATAGACGAAAATCCAATTTTACTTTTTTTTGTGATTATTTACAGCTGTTTTCATTCTAACTGGGACAGCTGATAAAAAATTGACCGAATAAATATTTGCCGATTCGATAAGTTTTTGATTCGGCAGTGATAAACTTTTGATTTAGAGTATGATTAGTAATATAAAATGATAAATATATTTTTAATACATAGTGATTGTATTATAAATAGTTCTACAATATCAACACATCCAATCTTAAGTTTTCGCTTGAACGCATGTCCGGTATGTCTGGTGTTTTTAATCTGCACGAAAATTTATGGCAAGAATTGTTCTTGCCAACTAACAGATCTTAGCAAAAAACATAAAAAATGATCCAAATATAAAATAAGTTTTCGTGATAAATACATTACATGAATAGGCGCTAACAAAAAAAAGTTCGATATAATCAAGAATACGTTTATTATATTAATGGATAGGAGCACACTGTACTACCGGTAGTACATTGTACTACATTGTGACAGTTTTTGAAAACTCCTATTTGTCGATTGAACAAACCACCCGATTTCAAATTATGTAATTATCGTCTTACTAAGTAGATAATTACATATAATATGTTACACAATACACTTTGTACAGAAAATTCACGCGTGGCTTAGATTAATCTGCAGCATTAAGCTAAATTAAGCTAAAATATATCAATTTTGGATCACATATATTAAATAAGCTTAGCTTCGCAAAATGATGTAATAAACGATTAATAAGTAAATTGGCAAAACCTCAAGAATATTGCTTGGCTTTTTTCAACGTTTTTTTTTTTTTTTTTATCATCGTTAACAAAATTTTTCATATAAAAAGGATACAGATATGAACAAAAAATTGTTCAATAAATTTGTGTATTCAAAAATTATCGCATTAAAATACTGAGATATTTGTCTAACAAGCCGAACCTCTGCCACAAAACATCGTTACGAACATTGTATAGTTCATAGCAACCTTTTTTTTTTTTATAAACCTTTTTTTTTTTATATATATTATATATAAATTTTTTTTTTTTTATATAGTACATTTTTTTTTTTATGAAACGTACCTCACGTATCAGAGAAGGTTCCAAAGTAACTATCTTGAGATCAAGTGTGGGTGAAGTAATTGCTCATCCACTTCTTGGAACTAGGTGGAAAACTAGGCGAATCTTAGCTACAGTTATACAACCAGCACTTAGTAACAACCGTTGGGTAATCAGGTTTGATGAAACCCTAGAAGTAGAAATTGAAGCCTCTGCAGCCTGTATGAAGTTCGTAACCAATGAAAGTTCAAGTGATAGTCTTTACAATGAAGACAATGATTTATTACCTGAATTAGTCATTAGTAAAAATGAGACTGATATTTTAAGTAGCAGTGAAGAAAGTCAAAGTGATGAAATTAGCATTAGTAATAGTTTGTGGCGTGATTCTATTGTAACAATTGATTCTCGCCAAGTTAAGCTTTCTTATTCAAATACACCAGTTGTGCATATATCTGACATTGCTCATGCATCCCCGAAACAATTTTTTGAGCGATTCTTACCTGTTGAATATATTTTATTAACAGTAATACCATCAACAAACAGGTGTGCACGTGCAAGTGAATTCTCTTAGAAGGACCTGACCTAGATGGAGTTTATGCAGTTTATTGGAGTTTTAACAATTATGACATATGTACAGTGTGCTAATAAGTGTGATTATTAGGCAGTTAAGCAAGAAACAGGTGGTATAGCATTAGGGTTTGGACAATATATGTCACATTGACGATTTCAGGATATAATCAAATATTTGACATTAACAGATGTAATAGATAATAGTGATCCATTTTATTTTGTTCATGAGTTTCATAATGCATTTAACGAAAATCTTTGTAAGGCTATTATGCCTGGTAATTATCTTTGTATTGATGAGTCAATGTGTCAATGGATGGGTAAAGTTGATAAAGGTCCTTTTCAACGTAAGATCCCACGAAAACCTCATCTAATTGGATGTGAATTTAAAGCTGTCGCTAATACCCGAACAAATTTGTTTTTACAATTAGATCCTGTAGAGCCTCCCAGATATGCTAATAAAAAAAAATTTTCTAATCAGTATTCTTCAATAATCGCAACTATGTTACGATTAACAGAACTATGGTTCCATAGTAGTGGAACAGTTGTTGCAGACTCGTAGTTTGGAAGTGTGTATGGGTGTATTACTTTATACAAACATAGTCTTTATTCTATTTTACAAATAAAAAAGCATCGTTACTGGCCAAGAAACATTCCACATGATATAACAAGTGCACTTGGAGA